GGAAAAAGGGTCCCGCACAAGCGAGACGGAGCTGTTCAATAGAACAGCTCCATTGAAAATCATTGGACGGCGACTTCTCACGATATCGCGCAGCAAATTTGCACGAAATCGCGTGATTAAATGCCTAGTGTGAATGGGCACCTAGGGCTCACTCATACCACTGCAGTGCGTTATGCCTCACATCAAGAAGCGCTGTGTTAAGGGAACCTATGCCTTTGAGCTGCCTAACAGGACAAATACATGGGAAAAGAGCGCATGTCACGTTTGGACACACACCTAAATGCGTTAGTGCACTGCACGTCAATAGGCAAGGTGCATTGGGGTGCATAAAGCAGCGCAATAGTGTGAATAGGCCCTAATACTTTTCTACCTATTCCACCTGATCTCCTCTACTGTAATGACTGGGTGCAGTTTCCAACAGATAGAGATAGACTTTGTAAAATAATATCCGATCCTTTTGATTCAAGTTTACTGGAAAATGACTGCTGGAAAGTGAGTTATTAAACCGGACTGGTTGCTGTGAAGCACCAAGTACAGTTTCTTTTCAGGACATCTGGAGAAGGAATACAAGATAAAAACTTGGAACTTTACCCACCAATTTAATGTCTCCCAAAACAGTAACAGTCAAGTTTGCCAGTCTGATTTTTTTTTCAGCTCTCAACCAAACTTTCAAGCCCTCGAAGGGCTGGTGTCCTAGCTGATCACATGTGCAGCACCATGGAAACTGCAATCCAAATAGAGGATAAGATGTCACCTTCCCTGGCTGTAAAGGATAGGAGGGTGTAGTTCTGCTTTAAAGCACAACTCTGGGGAAAGGTTTTCTTAACCCTTGCAGTGGGGCTACCACCCACTGCAAGGGTTAAAAGGAGAACTATGAGGGGAGTGCTTCTCACTCACCTCATAGTTCTAGCCAACCTGTGACAATGAGACTGTCACAGGTTGGCTCAGTAGATCGGGAGGTGAGCGAACGCCGGTATGTGTTCGCTCACCTCCCGATCTACTGAGCCGACCTGTGACAGTCTCATTGCTCTCTGTCGTGACAGGGGAGGTGCTGGATTCCCCCCGCTCTGATCCGAAGCGCTGACTGGCGGAACGGACGGGGGAGGGGGCGGGGACAGCTGGCTCTGCCTCTAGATAGGCAGAGCCAGCTGTCAGTCACGCAGCTGGGCGGATCTCGACATCTATGTCGGGATCCGCTCCAGGTGCGGCGTCTCAGTATACCACGAGCTGTAGCTCACGGTATACTGAGCTTAGGGTGACGGGAGGACGCTAGTTTGTGTCCTCTTGTTACCCTAAGGAGAACTATGGGGAAAAACACTGACCCCATAGTTCTCCTTTAACTGCTCCTTTTTGGCTAGGTTCAAAAATAATAAAAATATACTCACCCAATCCTCTGAGCCGGCTTGCTCTTAAACTGCTGCAGCGGGAGAGTTGATGAACTGTTTAATGCGCTATTTCAGTGCATCACAGTTTATTTTTTCTAAGCTTTATTAGTAGTTTACAAAGTATACACTCCATTACAGGTCTCCACACAGCAGTGTCGTGTGCTGTTCTGCACTGCAGTGCCATTCAATGGGCTGTGAAAAAAATGCTGCATGCCTGCCTTTGACCGCATCGAACATATTTTCCCTGATGACCACTAGGACTAACAGTGAAAGAAAATCCAAAAGTTTGAGCGGTCACTGAAATAGAAATAGACCAGGGTGGACAAATGAATATGGAATTTAGGAGCCAGTCTGTCCAATCCAGGAGCCAACAGAATTTTCTTTTAGGAGCCAGCTGGTTGAAATGTTTAAGAAGCATTGGCTACCTGGCTCCTGAGATTTCTCCAGCCTTGAAATAGAGGAATATTCCAATGGGGACACTTGTTCCAGTGACAAATGTCTAGCACAGCTTTTCTCAACCAGGGTGACGTGCTACACTGGTGTGTCTCCTGGACACCTCAGGGGTGCCTCAAAATGTTGTGGTAGCGGGACTATGATGCAAAAGGGGGGCTCTGATATGAAAAGGGGCTACTGATGCAAAGGGGGGCACTGATATGGAAAGGGGCTACTGATGCAAAGGGGGGCTCTGATATGAAAAGGGGCTACTGATGCAAAGGGGGACTCTGATATGAAAAGGGGCTACTGATGCAAAGGGGG